TATAATTAGTGGGCTGGCTTGCCCCCAAAAGGTATATAGGTGTGAGCCAGCAATATAGATCTCTCTCTCTGACTCTGAGCTCCTTGCTGCTCACTCCCTGGTCACCCCCCTCTCCTTTGTTCCCTTCCCCTCCTTCCCTTCCCCTCTCACCACGTGGACCACCAAGCTGGGCTGAGGTGAGCAATGTTGCCATGGAACGTGTCTGACTGTATTATTGTAATATCTCTCATGCTCTCAATGACTTTAATATAATACTTATATATCTTAACCGTACAATTGTGCATTACTGAACCCAGAAGTAGTATTACTGAATGCGAGTAGAAGTACTAGTAATAGGAGTATTAGCGGTGGGGGCTGGCCCTTCACCCACCTCCCCCCCAGCTCCAATTTTTTAAATTTAATACTACAGTCCATGTGCTTGAGTGAAGACCAGGGTCTTTCGAGAGTCAAACTGGGTTAAAGTTGCATAATTTTTCCAGGACCTTGAACCGGTTCATGCCAGTCTGATCCCCTGCTGAGAATTTGCATTCCTACTCCAAACAGATGGAATGAGAATCTATATTTTCATTAGATTCCACCTTAACACAGATTCTCACACCTGGAGATCTTGCTAAAGGATAAATTCCATATATCAGGGATGCGTGAAAATGGACATTCTCAGCAGGGGGGTTAAGCCAAAATGAGCTGGCTGGAAGCCTGGTGGAAATGACTGAGAATGAATGGATGGGGCCCCTCTGCCCTGCTACAGGAAGAACTGTCTGAAGAAGGGGGCTGTGCTCCAGCCTCGCCTCTGCAGCTGCATGACTACAGCGGACCCTGTCTCGCCTACGTGTCAGCACTGCCAGGCCCTTCAGTGCCCAGGGCAGCCTACCAGGTTAGCCCTTCCTCTGCTGGATCAAAAAGATCCTGGTGATTGGACAAGAACTAGACATCTAACAGATTATAGATATATAAAATCACCACTGAATCCACCTCACAGTGGCCCAGTGTCTCAGACTAGACACCTGGCCCAGTGTCTCAGACTAGACACCTGGCTCCACACGGTTTTCAGTGGCCAGTTTTTCAAAAGCACGTCACCAGGTTTTGGGTGTTCTTTTTTCCCCTAAAGCACCTCTGGGTGGATTACAAAGCGCCCACCTTTTGGTGAGCAGCCAAGCAAAGCGCTTAACTGTTGGCGCCACTCCAGGGTTCCTTAAGATGGGGAATATTCCTTCGTAATGTTCATGGGGAAATCCCATGATGCGTTCATTCTATTTTCCCACCAACTTGCTGAAGCTCCCTTGAATAGACTGAGATACAAACAGAAGAGCGTTAAACGCGAATCCAGAGACCTTAACCTGCCAGGGCCTCACTTTCCTTCCCTGGATTCCCATTCCATTCTCTTCGCCACCTGCTGGCCGCCCAGGCTCTAGCTGCCCTAGGTCCTCAGTCTCTCAGGGCCTGGTTCTTCCACGGTCCTGCGTCCAACAAGCCTCACCTTCACTGGGGTCAGCAGCTCATTAGCAGGGTGGCCTTGCTATCAGGGGGCCAAAAAAGCATCTTCTTCCTGTCCCTGAACTGCGGGTGACCTCTTCTTCTATCCTGATAGGGTTCAGTCAGGACTCCACCCTATTAGGCCCCCTGAGTGGGTATGGTGCAGTAGATAAGCCACAGTGGGGACGTGAGAGTCCTCTTTTTTTTTTTCATTCTTCCCTCTGGGGACAGGCAAATAGCACCCCCCCACATCAAGGTCAAGGACAGGTACATGCAGAAGGTCCCCAAGGGTTGGCCTAAATTGATGATCTTGGCCTTGAGCGGAAACTAGAACCCCCTGAAGAGCTGAAGAAACACACAGATGCCAAGGATTCTCGTGGCATGCGTTTGTGATGGGCCCTGGATAGCAAGGTGATTCCAATGGGCAGTCAGGGTGGAACTACTACCGACCTGGATGTGAAAGCTTGTGACATGGAAAAGCATGGTGGCCATTTGGGGCAAGCCTTCTGAAGACCACACCAAGCTGTTTCTAACCCAAGGACCACCGCGCACTTCCCCTGCTGTTCTGACCCTCCTCCCCACCCACACTGCCACCTGGACTGCGCACTCAGGCCTGGGTCCCACAATGACAGGGCTGCCAAGCCCTAACCTGATTCCATTCTTTCCTTCATCGGTCGTCTCCTCATGAAAACCCTCCCTGGTGGCCCCCACCGAGCACCACCCTTACTGGTCTGATAAGGAGCCCTCGGACAGCAGGAACTTCAGAACAGGGAGGAGACTGTGCTGGGAGTAGCAGCCAAAAAAAGGATTCTCTAAAGAAATATTTTCCAACAGATTTGGCATGTTGCTAGAATGGCAGTTGTGGTACGAGGTCTCATTTAAAGCCAACTGCTTTCCCTTCATCGAGAGAGAGAGAGAGAGAGAGAGAACTGGAATTGAACTGAAATGTTCCAGGTGGGAGTTGCTCTGGACTGGAGTCGCACCCCAGTTCTGATTTGCTAGGGCTTCGGAAGCAAGTCATTTTCCTTTTATGGGCCTCGCTTTCTTCATCCCCAAGGTAGGAGTGAACAGAAGGAGCTCCGGGATCCCTTGCAGCTCTGCCATGCTATGCATTAACTAAGCCAGTAAGTGACATGTTCAAATGGAAAAGGCAGAAGGATGGGTGGGCCAAGTTTCCTGGGGGCCAAAGACTGCTCTGCTTCCTCCCAAAGCCACTCTCTCGAAGCCAGATACTGAAACAGATACATCTGGAAACATCACATGTGATCCACTGGTAATTAATTGCTTTGTAGACTTAAGCCAATGCCTGTGGATGTGGTAGGGTAATAATGCTTCACCTCCATTCTGCACCCCTGCCCCAGCCTCCCCCACAAGAACACTTCCCTGCAGCCTTCTCTCTGGACCAGGGATGATCAGAAGGGAGCCTCAGGTCGAACACAAGGAGCTCTCCGAGCCTCTGACTGCAGTCAAGACCCCCGGGGCAGGCAGCTCCCTCCGCAGACCAAGCTTCTTCACCGCACCACACCACACCACACCACACCTCCTTTCTGCTGAGTGACTCACCAAGGCAAATGAATTCCCTTTTGCCCTTTCAAAGTCCTGAACTTTGGGTGTTATTTTTAAAACAGCCACAAGCAACTCCCCACCCTCACCCCCACCCTGCCCCAGCCCCCAAGTGATTGGATTTGGACAGGAGGATGAGCTCAGGCTTGAGGTCCACCAGCTCCAGAACCTCCTGAACTGTCGGCTTCTCGGGGACTTGGGAGCTCTTCCACCAAGGCAGCATGGAACTAAGCCTTTCTAGGCCTGCATCCACTCCATCCAATCAGGAGAAGGCTGGTTTTCCCCTCCCCCTTGGAGTGGCTTCACTTCCCAGTCAGGTCTGACCCAGGAGTTAAGAAGCTCTGGACCTGGGGGGCCGAGCCCCCCTCCCCACACACACACTTCCTGGACTGCATTTCCTTCTCATAGCCAGGCCCCAGGGAGCTCTCCCCAAGGGACGCCGGTGGGATGGTGCTGGAGAGAAGCCTCACTTTCACCACCATGAAGGAAGGGGCCTGGGCAAGTGCTGGTGACCTGGGGGCAACCTGATGTGCCCGCTCTCTCTTTTCCAAAACTGACGTCAGTGAGCAGAGTTGTATGCAGCATCGCTTCGTGGGTCAAAAGCCCAGGTTCGGGCATTCAAATCGCAGCCATGCTGGAGTAATAGCTGTGCGGTCTTAGGCAGGCAATTTATACTCTCGTGCCTCAGTTTCTCCACATATACAAGCAATATCACCACCCCATAAGGCTCTCGTGAAGATTAGATAGGCTAATGTTTTGGAAGTGCGTAAGCCAGGGCCCGCTGCATAGTAGGTGCTATTAAGCATTTGCTGTGATTATGGGTTCCTTACGGATTAGAATAATTTTGGCGTTAGGAACTCAAGCAGTAAGCTGCCCCAGAGTCCACGGTCAACAGGTGCACATTAAATAATTACAATTGCATGTACAACTGCATGTTTTCATCCCCAAACTAAGGCCATCGTGAGCTATAGCAACAAAAGGGACATCCAGAAAAAGACTGGGAGGCATGCCTACTGTTTTGTGAGCAGACGTCGGTGGGGACCTGTCAGGGTGCAGACCAGAGAGAGGCTGAGCTGGGTGCTGGGGACCAGCTATCATCGGGCCAGGAGTGGGTCTTTTCATGGTTCATTTTCATTCCTGGGACCCCTCGATGTGACAGACACTATTGCCCCAGTTTTACAGAGAGAGAAACTGAGTCACACAGAGACTCCACAACTAGCCCAAAGCTGACAGCTAACAGTAGGGTGAGGGTTTCTGCCCCACTGTGCAGATCCTGAAGGAGCCCTAGTGACCTGGTGGTTATGAGTGGGGCTGCTAACTGCAAGGCCAGCAAAGAAAGATAGGGCTCTCTACTCCCATAAACAGTGTCAGTCTTGGACACCCACAAGGACAGTTCCACGCTATAGGCTGCTGTGAGTCAGCAACCACTCAATGGCAGTGAGCTTGGCTTTGGTTTGGTGCAGATCTGGTGTGCCTCCACTCCATCAGACTGTCCCCAAATACCTGCTAGTCGGTCCTGTGGAAGAGGGAGTAGATCGGTTCCCTATAGCCTGGGGCCGTGGGTGGGGGTGAGGGGCCAGGCAGAAGTAAGATGCAGAAAGGGCAATTTTAGCAGAGTCTTTGAGGGTGAGCTGTCCAATTGCACAAGTACTCGGGAATGGGAAGAGGGAACAGGCTGCCTTGTTAGCTTGTGAGCACTTGCTCCTTGGAGTCCACTGGCAGCAGCAAGGCTAGCAGGGGCTTCGAGCGCTATGGAAGGCTGGACCAGAGGCCTCTTAGGTCCCTCCAAATCTAGGGTGGCTCCTGAATGAGCAGGAAGGGGCATCTGTGGCAACAGCCTGAGTGTCAGGAAGTTCATCCCAGTGAGATGTACCCAAACAAGAACATCCTAGTGCTGCCTGCCCCCAGCACCACCCAAACTGCCAACAACTTACTAGGATGCTGGAGCAGCCTTCTCCAAGGTTCGCTCTCCTGGTGCTCGGCCTGCACACCCTGCTCCTCTCGCTGGGTCGCTGACCGCATCTACACGACTTCCAGCATAGACGGGAAGCTGGAAAACACAAAAACCATGAACATCAGGGTCTCGTCAGCACTGCAGTCTGACATTGAATGCTGTTTCTGCACCAACATTTACTGTTGCAGCAGCATTTGTAAGGACCGCTGGGAAACTCTTAGGAACTGATCAAAGTTTTATGTCCACAGCAAATGATGCCTACGAAAAGGGCAAGAACTCATCACGACCTTTACAGCGGGGATCAGATTGGGCTTCCTTTGCTGAGGACGACCAGTCAGGTGTCAGCGGGAGGAGCGGCATCATGGGAGCTCGTGGGAGAGCCCAGTGGCGTCTGTGGGTTGCTGGGCTGGAAGGCATATAAGCCCCTTCCTGATACTCCTCAGAACGCTTTACCGAGCAAGAGCTGTGAACTCAGAGGCTGGGGTGAGGGATCTCTGGATGGATGGAGGCCAAGAGGCAGAAGAAACTTGAAGGCTATCAGACCCTGGGAAGTGGAGGGTAGTAGAGTTCAACGAGCCATGAATTGGTGGCTTTAAGGCAATTTCACCTAGCGTTCCAGAAGGGGGAAGGTCCCAGCTATACCCATGGAGGTGCCATGCATTAGGGCTGGCTTGATGGCACCTGGCTGGTACTTGGATACCAGGCCATAAAATACTACCAAGAAGGAAGACAAGATTGTTAATATCTCACAAACAAGGCTGAGGAACTCCCCAAGTCCTGGAGATTGAGGGCTTTCCATGTTACTCATTAAAGTGTTCGTTCGTTTCTTTAGATGACAAAGGGTGTTTTTTCAGTTTAATCTGGGCCTCTCTGTTGTTCCTATCCAGAGGTGTTTGGGGCTCTTCCACCAGAGGCTGGCACGACCACCAGCACCTGGTCCTACCCTGCCACCCTGACTTGAGGGCCTAGTCCTGGCTGTCCTGACCAACTGGCAGCTCAGTCCCTTCCAGGTGCTGGCCGATGAACACTGCCCGGACTAGAGCCATTTGAAAAGACTAGCCCCTCCCTAAGGAGGGAGAAGAATTGTTTGGGGGAGACAGCCATTCTGAAAGAGACCCCAACAGAAAGGCCTGGATAGATTGGGAGAAAATGTGGGACAAAACTCAAGATCCAGACGCACTGCTCTGGTAGAGACTGGCAGACCCTGCGAGACTATGGCCCTTCCAAATCACTTCAGTCTAGAACTGAACTCTCCCCGTGACTCATTGTTAGCCAAACATAGACACGTCAGTGGGGTAAACAAGAACACCGGGGGGGCTTTGAACTCCTGAAAACAATCAACCATCAGAAACCCCTTGCCCAGGGATGGGCTCGGATGGTAGGAAGGGCTCTGGAAGAAGGACAAAGGAAGAGGAGGTGGGCCGTGCGCTGCTCACGTTGTGGCAATGACAATCCACATGCAGGACTTGTTGCATGGGGAACCAACGGGCTCTGGACACGGTTACCCGAACCCCAACAACAAAGCTTTTTTTTGCATTGGTTTGGAGGCACAGGGAGCCCTGGACACATGCAGACCTCTAAGGCACGGTTTCCCCCTGGCGGGGGGTCGGGGTATGTGTGCAGAGCTTGGATATTTCTGAGCCCAGTTCCAATGCCTGCCCCTCTAGTTTGGGATTTGTGTAGCGTCTCCAGAGAACTGGTCTCCATGTCCTGCATGTGCAGCTGCCAGCTGGGGCCCTCCCTCCCATGGCTGTACTGTTAGCTAGGACAAGGTCACCGCGCCACCATTTAATGCTGCTGCTGTCCCATACTCGCCAATGCACGGGCCCTCCCTGCAGGGCTGGCCCTGGGCTGCGTTGGCTGCCCCATCTCTGGAGGCCACCTTTCCACAGTCCTCCCAAAGGGCCCGTGCAACAGCCAGGTCAGTGGCCCCACCTGAAGCACGAGCGGCCCGCCCTCCCATCCCCAGCAGCAGCACCGGCCCAGAGGTCTGGGGATTCTCTGTCAAGATTTCAGAGTCTAAATGATTTCTTGTTTTGAGTGAGAGATGATTTTAGTAGAGGTCCAGTAGTGACTGTGACAGTCATTAAGAGGGCAGACAAGTACAGGGAAGGGCACAACCAACAATGTGACTCCCAACGTGGAAATTCCATTGTGGGAACACCAGTCCTTGAGTACAGGGTCATCCCAGATTAAGATGAAAATTGTCCAGAGAAGAATGGCAGGCAGAAGTACTATTTGTAAACCAGTCTCTTATGGCAATGCCATTGTTGAATCTCCTCTTGCAGGACCCCGGCACGCCCAGAGCAGCAGGTGTTAATGGAGGAAAGGGAAGAGGCAGGGGCCTGGTGCCGATGCTACACTGAGGGGCGCTAACACCTGGGGCAGGTCTGGAAGGACCCTGATCTGACAGACCCTCTGAGCCTTCTCTAGCTCCAGTATCAAACCCAGCATGACCACCCATCAGCCTCTGGTTTCCCCGTTGTGTGTCCATGGCTGGTTGCTTGGAGACGCAGAGCTCTGAGAGGCTCACTCTCCCAGCTTGCAGTCACCACACCCTCAGACATAGCTGACAAGGAGGCGGCAGTGTGAGCCCAGGTGTCCCAAGCAGTGGGCAAGGGGGCATCAGCCCCAGCGCTCCTGAAACTCCTGAGTGGCCAGGTTCCCCCCACCCCACCCCGCAGCCTGCTCAGTGTGCAGTCACGCTGCGCTGCAGGGCCAGTCGTCTTGCAAGCAGGAAGACAAAGGAGGGAGGGAGCCAGGACACTGGATTTTGTCCTATTCTGCCCTCCCCAACCCCCCACAAGCACACACTAGATTGTGGATCTAGACAAGTCCTTAAGGTCTCAGGGACCTTTGTCTGTGTCCTGCCATCCCAAACCCATGGCAGTCAAGCCAGCCCTGGCTCATGGAACCCCATGCATGTCAGGGCAGAAGCTCCATAGGGCTTTCAGCGGCTGGCTTTTGGAAGTAGATCGCCAGGCCTTTCTTCTGAGGCACCTAAGTAGATGCAGTCCTCCAACCGCCTCAGTTAGCAGCTGAGCACATGAACTACTTGTGCCCCTCAAGGACTTGCCATCCATGTTGACTACACTTAAGTGCCACGAGCATGAATTGGGGCAAGTTGGGCCCATTTAGCAAAGAAGCTCTGTCCCAGGCAGATGGGTTCCGGAGGTGAGTGAGGCCATAGGGGAGCTCCCAGAACAGTGCCGGAGACAGGCCTATCTCAGAACAAGGCACCAAGTGTGGAAGGGGAGGTGTGCGTGGCAGGTGCTCTGACCAGTGTGCTGCTGCTCCTCAAATCACTTTCTCATGCACACACTGTTCTTCGGTCATGTAACACACACGGCTGGGCTCCCACGGGCAACCTCACTCCTCGCCTATTTGGAAGCAGAAGTCCAGCAATGGAGTGCAGCTCTCAAAACGAACCAATCCAATTTCACACTGACTTTGGGGAGACAGCAAGGCCCTTCCTTCTCTCAAGTTCATCTTCAGCTGCACCCCTTAGTTGACTGTCTCACTGAGCCCCTTCCCGGGCCCCAGGCCCCTGTCCCCAGCCTCACCACCCCAGGCTCCGGGAGCCTAGAGCTCCCTCTCTACAGTGCCAGCTGTTATCCCCATACCCTTGAATGCTACTCAGCCAAGACCCTGCTGGGGATTCACCCTTCCAGAGGGGCAGCAGCGACTAAGGCTCCCTATCCCAGTTTTCTCCCCTGCCCCACAAAGACTACTCACTGCCAGCCAGTCAGTGCTGACTCCTAGCGAGCCCCTGTGGGTTTCCGGGACTGTTAACAGTTTATGGAAATAGAAAGCCCGTCTGTCTCCTGCGGAGCTGCTGCTGATTTCGAACTTGCACCCATATGGATCCAAGCCCAGCTCCTCATAACCACCGCTAGGACCAGGTAAGTGTAACCCTGGCATAGAACGTCACATTTTCAATGCACCGTTCCTTGTGGTGCATAAAAGGAAAAGGAAGAGAAAGTCTCTAAGTGGAGAGACAGATGCCCAAGTTGTCTGATTATCTGCTAAAATGTATTTCAGCTGCTCGCACCCCGAGGAGAGGAGCGCCTGTCTCCTGCTGCTCGGTGGGAGTCTCAGACAGGAACTGACTGTATCACTCTGCACCCGGAGCCCAAAGATGCCACAGCTGTCCCTTCCTATTTGCCCCACGCACCATCACGAGCACAGTCGACCCTTGGCCCTGCCAGGCTGTCAAAGCGCCAGGCCCCCCAACCCCAAACCATGGCTCAATACCAGGCAAGGCAGCATTTGTTCCATGTCTGACACTTGAAGTTGGATCCCAAACTCACCAGTGCCGAGTGAGACTCCCCCCAAGGGAGACAGGAGACCTTCACAGCCTTGCTTCAGTTGCTTTGCAGAAGAAATGAGGGTGACTGAATGCAGGGTGGGGGGTGGGCCACACCCTGTGTGGTCTGCTCAGATAAAGAGGAAGCTCCCGCCATCACAGGAGAAGCTTATCATGAACCTTCTTCAAAGTCTGCCCAATGTTCCCAAGTTCCATGGAGGGCAGTAACTGCTGTGACAGTTTCTAAACACAAAACCAAACTCACGGCCATCGAGTCGATTTCTGACTCATAGCGACCCCACAGGACAGAGTCGAACAGCCCCTGTGGATTTCTGAGGTTATTAATCTTGATGGGAGCAGTCAGTCTCCCCTTTCGCCCTAGGAGAGACTGGTGAGCTTGAACTGCTGACCTTGCAGTTAGCAAACCAATGAGTAACCCATTTTACCAACAGAAAGAAAGGGGGGTGGGGGAAGTCTACAAGAAGAAAAGTAGAAGAAGGAAAAGGGGAAATGGTGAAGTCTTTCTGTGCGGGCTCTGGCAACTCCATCGGCTGGAAACACCTCTCCGCACCTGAGCGCTGCAGACCCAACGTGTCCTCATCTCTGGGCTTTGCCAACTCGCTTAACCAAGTCCAGTCCAGTTCAAGATCCAAACAGCAAAGTCTCAAGGGCCCTTTGCCATTTCTCCTGTGATGCAGGAATTGCACAGCTGTGAATAGATGGACCCCGAACCTCGGAGAGCCAGCTCTATTCTGTGTCCACGGACAAGCAGAGTTATTCGTGGAG